CCCCAAAACCCCAAAACCCCAAAACCCCAAAACCCCGTTAACGGCTTATTTTTCGGCAAGCATATAATTTAAATTTAGTTTAAATGGACGACAAGATTTTAGAGTAGGTGCAGATTGTGTGAAGAGTGGGGTGATTTTGATGTAGGGAGGATCCGAAGGGGCTGGCTAAGTATTTGATTAAAGAGATTAACAGTTTGAAGCAGCAGTTGAGCCAGATCCAGAATAATAGTATTGATCAGGATGATAGCCGGTCGTTAAGGAATTATAGGGGAGCTTATTCGAGTAATTATTGTAAGTGTTGGAAGGTTGATGTGTAGTGAATAAGAGTAATTATGGGCCAACGGATAAGATAAGAAATCCCTATCCCAATCCACAGCTGAGCAGATATTGATATAGTTCTGTAAATAAGCATGATGCAAGGAATAATAATAGAAGGGAGACTGCTCAAACAACCCTTTACCCAACCAAGCAAGCGTCAGGATCGCAGCCAAGGATTCAGAGCAGGTATGATTATAAAATAATACTTCAGAGGAAATTTTGGAATTCACAACAATAAAACCCGGTACAATTATTACAGACCAAATTGTAATTACAGAATAATTTTTAGGGGATCTTAACTCAAGATATGAGAAATCAAAGTATGAGCCTGAAGAAATGAGGACTTCAAGTATAAGTAACGAAAAATAGCTTCCAAACCTACGATACAGAACAAGAGAGATGAAAAACCATTGCTACACATGATGAAGGATCTCCATATCTAAGGAGTTTCCAAGAAAGAAGAGTTGATACTTACAGTTACTACCCTAGAAGGGACGAATACAGGTCCTCTGCTGATCTTTATAGCTCAGCCAAGAAGTCTAGGGAAGATGATGAACTTTCTGAGAAAATCAATTCGTTAAAGTCATGCATCCAGGAAATTGAAAAGAAGCAAGATATACTACTAACTCGGATCGATTCTAAAATTCATTCTAAGCCTAAATTCAGTTACGAGAATGAAACTCTTCAACGGAATGAGAATGTGAGACCTCATGCCAATCCTCTGAAGAAAAAGAAGAATGTCCCAGGACTCATGGCAAAGGAAATTGAAAGAAAGATCAAGGAGAGGTCTAAAATAATCAAGGAAAAGTACTCCCAAGATAATCCTAATGGCTTCAGAGAGGCTGATAGAAGTCAGGAAAGGGAAGGACACAGAGAAATGAGCAAAGAGCATCAGACTAGTCATCTTAATCTTGATATCCCTGAAGATAACCATCATGAATCTGAAACTATGAAATTGAGAGATGATAGTTCTGATGATTTTACCAGGAAGAAAGTCTTACGATCGAACCAGCAGTTTGAGACTAATATTTCCTTTCAAAAATCAAAGCAACAAGATAGCTTCCAAGAAGGCAAAGATGAAGGGGAATCTCCTGAAAAGTCTTTATCGCCTAGTCGGAATACCCTTAAATATTATACGAACTCCCAAGATGATATTGAAGAGGCTATTAGTAACAGAAAGAAGAAGATTGAAGAATCTCGAAAGGACCGAAAGAGTAGACTGAGCTATACCACTAGAAGTATGGGTTCTGACAGTCAATGCACCTTTTCAAATTCAAAGAATCTGTTCATGAGCTCCACTAAGCCATTGAATAAATATGAACTTGTTAATGATTCCTTTGGAAGTCCTGAGAATAAGATTAATAAAGCTAAAATGAAATATCAGCAGGATGATACCGATGCTGAAAGAGAGAGAAGAGATAATAATGATCATATTATTACACAACTAGAAATCCAGGAGAGGAAGCTAGAGTGCTTTGTCCCTCCTTCAAGACAAGAGCCAGTGCCTATTACACTTGAGCAGACAGACCTTCCTATGGCATATGAATCATCTCCTGATTTGATTAGTTTTCAGTATGAAAATACTACTTCTCCTCCTCGTTGTACTAAGACTCGAAAGAAGTTGTTTCACTCTCCAACACACAAGAAGGAACTAAAAGAAGACACTCATCCTGACTACAACTGAAACTCTGATACTCTCTCTGCAATGAGAGCAAAGGACTTACATTGTGGAAGAGGAAGCTCTCCCTTAAGAACAAAGATGAAATCCCCAAAAAGGAACAAGAGCAGAAGCCCTTCTCCTTCAAAGAAGGGTGGAGCTAAGATAGAGTACTATTACGACAACGGCACTATCAACATAAACACACCTGTAAAAACCCAGCTAGATTTCGAACGCGCCGAAGAAACCACGCCTAAAAGTAGCCTCATCAGTAAGCTCAAAGAGTCCAATAAGAGCTTCAAGGAATTCAAGAGGGCCAATAAAGCTGCTTATGAAGGTAAGAGAAGGAATTTAGAGATTTTTAGGATTTTCAGGAATTTATGAAAGCAGTTCAGAGAAATGTAAGGATTTTGAGGGGATTTTTAGGTGATGATTGGGAGATTTCGCCTGAAGTTGAGAGACATAGAGAGAGGTTGAGCAGTATTATGAGGATGAAAGAGCCAGCTAGGTAAGGTGTGAGGTTTATTGTGTAGAACTCCTCAGAATAGGACGAAGATAGAGCATTGTGGTAGGAATGAAGGAGAGACAAGGAATGCAGCCACGAAGGTAAGGGAAAGGGTTTAGGAGTTTTATAGATCAGACCTCATTCAGCAGCAATGAATACTGCTAGAAGTAAGAAACTTCAGTCTGAAGCGAGGATGATGCAGGTTAGGAAGAGGAAAGAAGAGATCTTCAAAAAGAGACAAGAAGAACTTCAAGCGAAACTACTTAAAAAGGAATATAAAAGAAAACTGCTCAGTCAGAATAATTGGGGATATACTCCAAAACTTCGAGAGAGCTCTCCTTTAAAGCACGATATAGTGACCAGTGATCACTACAATATAACCGAAGGAAGTACAGAGAAACAGGAATGGCATAAATAAAAGATTTTTGTTAAATTTCATCAATTGAAAAACTCATAAATGGGGTTTTGGGGTTTTGGGGTTTTGGGGTTTTGGGGTTTTGGGGTTTTGGGGTTTTGGGG